ACTATAAACGTGTAGAGATTAGTGACCGTTAATCGATAGTTATTCAGATATCGTGAGATGCGGTTGGGTGTGATGTAGGTTTCAGAAAAACATTTTCTTTATCGTGCCAACGTTTCGATCTTTTATTGAGATCATCTTCAGGGCTCAAAGTGTTTGCTTCTGTGTAATTGTGCCATCCTTGCGTGTCGTGTTGAGAGTGTTACGATGATGTGAAGATGATCTCAATAAAAGATCGAAACGTTGGCACGATAAAGAAAATGTTTTTCTGAAACCTACATCACACCCGACCGCATCTCACGATATCTGAATAACTATTACTATAAACTAATTAAAGTACTACTTAATATACTACAAAGTTAAATTTTGGAGTTCTAACCCTACTCAAAGCTAACAATAAAATTTTATTATGATCGTTATTTTATTTAAAGTAATCAATCCTTATTTATTTATTTATTTATTTTTATTTTACGAGGGTTCGCAACAGCAGAGGTTATATCAACCCTCGGGGTGCCGGTGCTTTTGAAAAAAAACAAACATTTTTAAGTATGTCGGGTTCGAATGCAGGACCGCTGGATTCGAACCCTGGACCTTCACCTTACAGTAATGAGCGCCGTGTCAACGCGTAAACCGTTGCGGCCACCGACGCCCCTAATTTAATCCTTATTAAATATTATTAAAGGAGTAATCCTTGTTTTATTCATAACGTAAGCCTCTTCACAGATTGTTGATAGGTATGTACTTTATTACAATTAAGAAATTGATACGTTTTATAAATTCATAATATTCAATTGTTTTCCAAGGTTATGAATCATTTTACGATTCAATCACCTGAATAAACAAATCGTTTTCTGACTGGGTAGGATTGAAAAGGTGAACGGACACCTTGAAATTTAGCCTGTTAACTTACAAAAAAAAATATAACAAAATATTTTTATACTGTACTCAAATCAAGATAAAATAAGCAATTTGTAACAGATAAAATATTTGTATATTTGTTCGTTTAACTTTTCACAAGTGACTTCTTGTTTAAAAATTTAAACTTTTGCTCATTAAATAAATTAAATATTAATTTTCAGTGTTTTCAATGTCTTGTTCGGTGTATTAGCATTGTGAGAATGTGATGGAAGGAAGGTGATGTTCGAAATTTAATCCAAGAAGCAAGATTTCATAATCGCTTAAGTGAAACCTGTAATCAACTTTTCAGGAGACATTCAGCCCTTTGTGCTATGGAGATTTAAGTAAGCTGGCGACTTAATAAAACCGCGTAACCTGTTGTAAGTTGGTAGAAACAGGGATATATAAACTCAATGAATAGATTGCAGAATATGACAAAACGTTTACATTAATTTTACGATTTTTATTTCGACTCATGTTCTAATGTTCTCATTTAATCTTTCATTAATTCAATTTTGAGAAAAGCCAAAATAAAACAAGCTTTAAACATGCCCGGGCACTCTCAACACGACACGCCAGAATGGCACAATTACACAGAAAACAAACACTTTGAGCCCTGAAGATGATCTCAATAAAGATCGAAACGTTGGCACGATAAAGAAAATGTTTTTCTGAAACCTACATCACACCAGACCGCATCTCACGATTTCTGAATAATCTTTTTTTTAAAGCTTACCTTTAAATTTATTTGATGTTTAGCTATAAATTATTTTATTTAAATAGAATCAGAATTTATTTCCTTCAATCAAAAATTGAAATGTGATCAATAAATCACAATGTCATAAGACAAACAGCAAATATGTACTATGAAACGAAATGGGGACAATGTAAATCTAAGCTTGTTTTATTTTGGCTTTTCTCAAAATTGAATTAATGAAAGATTAAATGAGAACATTAGAATCTCAAAATTTCCGACTAATCATCGACTAACGGTCACTAATCACCACACATCTAAAAAAAAATTTTAAAACCCTTTTAGGTATCTGAAAATAAAACTAATTTTTTGTTTATAGGAAATGGACGTGTATATATAAAATATTATTGACCCACTTTGATAGATAGAATGTAGGAAACTTAATCCGTCAAGTGATATTAAAAGAGAAATTTGTTTTGACGTGAAGCAGGTATCTTATTTCAGTTCTAACTTTGTCCTACAACAAAATAAATAAAAATGACCTTGCTAGCATAGTGATTAATATTTTTCCGTCAACAGAAAATCGTGAACGATTGGTATTTTTTTTTACTAAAATCCGATAAGTAGAGCAAGAATTATAAAATAATTTATCAAACAAATTATATATTTCATGTAGCAATGGAAAAGTAATATTAAACGATTAGAGAAACATATAAATTATTTAGAAACACTGACTAAATTTACATATAAATTGTACTGTTACCTTATCAACTAATGGGTATATTTAAATTTAAAATTCAGAAGATCTATTGATACGGATTTGAGCTATTACGTTCGCTTTATACTGCGTGATTCATTATTCGTCCGGCAAAGTTCATCAGGTGCTTTTTACACCTTAAAAGCAGCAAAAAGGTTTCAGCCATGGTTTGATTCTCAACCTTTTCTCAGTATTGAAAATTTTATTCCGTTTTTCGTCATAAATCTACCCGTAGCACTTAAACTATTTATTTTTGGGAAAATCCAAAATGAACATTGAAAAGAACGTCACATTTTCTTTACGAAAGCATCTTTTTAAAGGTAGAAAATTGGAGAATTACGCCCATTAAAAATGGGTAATTTTAAAATTTGTGAAACAACTAAGCTTGCAACCTCGAGGAAAAAATTCACTGTAGAATTAGACCAATTTCTCGACGATTTCTTCGTTTAATACACTTTCTTGCAGTACATTCTTTTTTTTATATATATCAAAACAAAAATTTGCTAAATAGGAAAAAATGGTGATGGAGTAAAACATTCAGGAATGGGGTTAATCTAGTAGTTAAACGTTTTGTCCTAGGTAAATTTTATTTCCCGATTTGAACTAAATAAAATGGCACGAAAAGAAGGATAAATGAAACAAAACCCATAAAAACGAGATAATAAACATAGCTAACGACAAAATAGAAAAAAATAAACTAAATAGTTACACCAAACACAGACAAAAAAAGACCAAAACCCAAATTGTAGAAACTAAACCTAATAAAAATGCACAAGAAACCACAAATTCAACTTAAAATTCAATCCAAACACATAAAAAAGCGACAATAAACAGTAAACAACCAAATACATTGAATCTTTTGTGTGCTTTGAATTTGTAATTATGAAATTACTCAATATCTTATACAATAGTTCAAAACAAGGAATCATGGTACTGATTTGTAAACAAAACAAAATCCACATATGTTTACACAAACGTTATTAAACTATCGTGTTTTTGAAAGAGAAAAGTAATATTTTTTTAGGTTTGTTTACTGTATAACTTACACATGTCAGATGATCTTGTTTTCACAACAAAAAATGTTTCAAATCAAAGTCTCAATTTATAACATTATCGATGTCGAATGTAATCTTTGACATACTTTGTTTTTTCTCGACGGTTTTCAGGTTAAGGCTGGGTGAGATAATCCACCAGTGCATCATTTGGCTGACACGATGCAGCTAATGAACGCCAATTATGCGCACGCGCAAAAGAGATTCTGGTTATCCCTAGTGCTAGTTAGCTATGCTATTACCTCATAATTCACAAATGTGCCCCTCTAATTGCAATTGAGAGTGCCTAAAGTTTCCCTTAGGATGAAACTTGCGAATTGATTTCCTACATGGAGTTTAAACGGTTGATAACGAGAGTTTGTTTCCTATTCATCATTACACACTAAAAAATGTGTAACCAGAGTTAATTATTGTAAAATAACGGAGGTCAAATTCAAAATGGTCAGAGATTTGTGGATGTCCGTGGTGGTCGGTTCAATTTTGGTTTCTTTCAATGAGTACCCGAAGGTCTACATCGTTCAATGGCCCGGTCCAATAGAAATTCGCTGGTCCATGTTATTTCCTAAACATGTTTTACGACATATTTCTGAGATAATTCATTCAATAATGCATCAAGGCTAAACAAAAACAAACAACCCCACCCCCACAAGAGTGGAGACGAGATTGTCCGAGTCGTAGTGTCACTAAGTTGCCTATATTGGCCAAATATCAGTCCTTGAAATTATGCTATTAAGCAAAAATGATAAAGTATCTGAAGTTCGGTACATGATGGTACTTTGCCATGTAACTTATCATCATAAAAAAAATCACGTAACATACAATTAAACCATTGTAGCTTCGTATTTCACGTGCAAGTTGTGCCGAAGTATGTATGTTAGAATTACATAAAATCAAAATGGAAAAACTTTAGTACAATGCAAGTTTCTGGACTTTCTTCTAAAGAATGTAGGTTTCAGATTGTTTACATGTTTTTGAAGAACCTCCAAAACAATTTTTCCTTTCCCCTCATAGAAGAAGTTCTTTCTCATTATCAGGCTAATCAATAATAAAATATAATCTGCAGGATTCGCTACATGATAGGAAAAAATCGTTAAGTGAAATATAAATCCACTTCAACGTTGTGACACATGCAGCCAAAACCCTATGCTAAATTATTTTAATTAAAACACAAGCGAAAACATAATATGTATTAATCAAAGTTTAAGAAACTTTTTATTAGTTAATAGGTCAAATCAATTATTAATTCTATGTGATGATACATAATTATTTTTCCTTTTATGTCAAATATATATGACTTAATATATAAAATATAAATGTATAACTTTTTGACATGCTTTTCACTGGAAAATTATTGACGAACATTTTTTATGTACCGTTAATAACTGCTTAGCTAATAGAACAACAAACACATTATTTTTGAGTTTATGAAAGTATTGGACGTTTAAGGCTTTTAATTAGATATACAATCTCTTCGGCATTGGTTCATGTTACTATAAACATTGATAGAAATTTTTAAGTGTGATAATTGAGGGTGGCCATTTCGTGAAAAAGGCCTGTGCAAGGTACGGTCGTGGGGGTGCCTGTTTTTGAAGAAGTCACTTACGGTCTTTCTGCGATTGATGCGGGCATGCCCAGCGGCAATATCCTCGTATCGTATGGTGTATGGGTGAGAATAGCACGCGAGTGAATAGCGAGCGAGAGGAAGGAAGGTGCCCCACTCTCAACGTGGCCCCCACTTTCAAGCCGAAAAATCCTTAACCTTAGGTAAACTAGCAAGGGCCTCTGTTATCCGCCGATAGTGAACGTCTGGCCCCTCGAATTGCACTTTTGGCTGAACAAAGCACTCGTCGAGGGGCTCATTAACCTGACGCCCTTACTGACGGGGTCTATAATTTAGGTATATCCTGCCTTAACAAGTGCATGTCGTGTTCCATTTAGCGCAAATCGTCGACGGCGCACGTGGCTGTTTTACACTCGACCTGCACATCCAGCACCGCCTTGCGAATGACCCAACAATAAAATGAAAAATACCGTTTCTCCGTAAGCTTCTTTTGTATGTACATACAAATATACAGGATAACACATTTTTCAACAAGTATAGTTTAATTTTAAAAATATAATTTAATCCATGATTTCAACGTATTCCAGGACATTTTTGATTCGATAAGAAAAATTCTCTCCAAAAATACCTGTATTATGCTTAATATAATTACAAAGCAACAGATTTTGTGACAAAACATGGTTCTGTAACACAACTTTTCAACCGTTTTAAATGCAATCTCAAAAACTGAACTTTACACGATTGAAAAGTATTTTGCACTCTGAAATAAAAATGTTCAAACAATTGATTAGGCAAAATTAAAATCTGACCAATAGAAAAAAAAAGTTACAATTATATACAGTGTGTATCAACTTCTGCAGTTCACCCTTTTAATTCGATAACTATTAACTTTAACAAAAAAAAGTCGTATACAAACCCCAAGTTAATTTTGGCTAGGAATCGCGTGATGGCAACAGATTAACTGTAACTTTCTCATCTACCTGTGAAATTACGCAACATTGCGATTTTAAATAAAAATCCCAAATTTGTATTCTACAGTCCGAACTTAGAGCTTATTTATGATCTCGGAAACATTCTTCACAACTTCCTATAAAGTCTCAACAGACTATAAAGAAGAGGAAGGAACACAGGAGAGCATCAGATATGGTATACAGATGGCTCAAAAACAAATGAAGGAACCGGACCAGGCGTTTTCTGTACAAGCCCAAAACATGAGCAATCAAACTCATTCGGGATGTACACTTCTGTCTTTCAAGCAGAAATACATGCCTTCAAACTTGAGCCCTGGAAAATCTTAAAAGAGGTTACACTGGCAAAAAATCCTCATAATGCCATTAAAGCATTAGCATGTAAAAGAATCACATCAAAATTAGTCAGTGAATGTATCCAAAATCTTCAAAACCTGTGGAAACACAACAACCTTATGATATCGTGGGTACCAGAGCACAGGGGAATTTTGGGTAACGACAAAGTAGACAGTCTGGCCAGAGGAGGATCTGACCTGAACCTATACTTGGGATAACAAAAACAAATATAGAATCTTCCGTCGCAGAATGAATCCAGACAAAACAAAAAGAGAAGTGGATAAACTCTAGCGGTTCTAGACATAGTAAACTTATGATGAAACAACCCTCACCAAGACTGGCAAAAACACTGCTGCAATTGGAGAGGGCCAAACTGAGTGGAGTGGTAGGACTACTAACCGGTCACTGGCATCTAAGAAAACATCTACACAACATGGGTATATACAACGATGATCCCATTTGCAGATTATGTAATAAGGAGGAGGAAACAACCACTCATATCATCTTCGAATTCGAAGCAACAGCTCAATGGAGATTTAACCTAACGTACGGAAAAAACTTAGGGAATCAAATTGCAGCAGCGACAGTCAATGACCGTCGTCACTTCCAAGGAGAAGGATTGAGTCTATTGCACTGAACTAAGGAACGGGGAAGGTACAATAAGCCAGAAAGCTGCAGTGCTTGGGGAGCACAAACCCCGCTTTCTAGTATCCTTTTTTTACCAAACCATAGAGCTTATTTTATGCCACTTGTACTGAGAGGAAAATTGTGATAGGATCGACCATTTCTGACTTACGCCCTATGGAAAACGCGTGAGGGGTATGCTTTTTGTAGCAGCAAGATGGCCTTCCCCGTTAATTTCGAAAACGATTAACTTTAGTAAAAAACATTTAATTATACAAATACCAAGTTAATTGTGGCTAGTAATCGCGTGGTGGTGACAGATTTTACACAACTTTCTCATTTAGCTGTGAAATGGCACTAACATTGTTATTTTAAATAAGTATTCCAAATTTTTTGTGTACAATTCTAGAGGTTATTGTATGCCATTTTTACGGACAGGAAAATTTTGATAGAATCGACCATTTCTGAGTTGTGCCCGATGGAAGACGAGTGAGAGGGTATGCTTTTTGCAACGCAGGGAGCGTTTTTGATCATTTATTATAAACATAAATTTAAATAAATGTTCAAATTTTCAATAGACTTTTAGGATGTAAATGTTGACATCTAAACTATATTGAAAAACACGGCTGGCGACAGTTGGTTTGGTCTTATCGTGCATAAACAATCATTTTTCGGCAATTAACGGAGCAAACGGAACATATATTGCTCAAGCATTCCTGTTATGTGGATTTGGTTTTAAGTGACGTACTGTTAATAATGTGTAATTACGTTTTTACCTCCAAAGGAATTCCTCTCCACGCCATAATTGAACCACCTCCGACTATTCGGCAATGTTGCACTGACTGTGAGCTTACAGCTGCTCGATGTACTCGAAGACGTCCACCTTGTGAATGGAGAGAAAATTTGGATTCGTCTGGAAATAACTTTCTTTCAATAATGTTGCCGCCGATAATGTGTCCTTTGCAAACTCTATGCGGTTCCGACGATGGAACCTTTGCTGGCCTTTTGGATGTATACTCACTTCTGTAAGTCTCCTTACTGTTTCAGCGCTGACGGACACGGTTGAGAGTGCCCACACGACACACAAGAATGACATCTACACAGACCACAAACACTTTGAGCCCTGAAGATGATCTCAATAAAGATCGAAACGTTGGCACGATAATGAAAATGTTTTTCTAAAACCTACGTCACACCAGACCGCATTTCACGACCTCGAAATAATCATTAACTAACGGTCACTAAACAGTACACATTAGACAAATTATTTGAGGTTTGCTCGTTTACGATTATTTTGATTTGTCTACGCTTGCTGTTTCGGTCTGTCAGGCGTTTTATCCATTTACAAAGCTGGGATCTTTATTTATTGTTGTCCTTTCACCCAATTGCATAAATTTTAGTACAATGTTGTTACAGGTAAAGAAAACAATAATCGTTATCTCTCGTTGAAATTCAAATTAGGTTGTAGACTGTAGAAACCTTTTATCTACAGAATTAAACACACAAACTGTATTCTCGTCATATTACAAAAACCCTTTATATCTTTAATATTTTTTCAATCGATAGAACTGGCAAAAAGTTGAAATTTTTAATGTAAAATTCTTCCTGATTACTTTTATTTACGGTCATATCTGCACATGCGTGTACAGAGTTGGGCTTACCATTTCCGGCAGACCATCGGCATTTCTAGATTTGGTAATTTACACTTAATTACCGTCAGGCCTCCTCACTTACCCACCTCCGGTTTTGGCAGTCCGCGGTCAGATCTCAGTCTTATCGTCAAGCCGCCGAGGTTGCCCTTCAGGAGTACCAACAGCTAGGTCATTTCGGCGTCTAAATCAGTAATCATCGGCAGCCAAAACCAAACCAATTCACTCTTTCACTTACTCTTAAATACATTCTTACTTATTTACATATCAATAATACGTCACGAAGTGTATTACGACGGGGGGTGGCTTTTTTAGATGACCCGGCTGAATTTCTCTTGAAGAAATGACGCTATCAATAAACTGAAAAATACCTATTTAATATTTTTTAGACTAGTTTCGAATTTTTACCTTTTTTTGAAGAAAAATTATACAGGGTACCTCAGGCCGAGTCAACTTCAAAATTTCAAATACGACCCTATACATACTGACACATCGTTTTAAAGGATTTTTTTATGCTAAAAGTAAATAAAAAATAATGGTGCAAACTGGTTTTAAATTGATGAAAAAATGATCAAGTTATGGCAAAAGTATTAAAAAAAATCATTATGTTTGCTATTTCATGTTCGAACTGCCTGTCTTGCTTAAAGATGCAAAAATTTGCTCTTTTTAACCACTGTTCATCGGTGTTCATAACTATAGAGTCAGGGGAGTTGGATTGGCAAGCATTTTATACCCTTTGCCGCAGTTCTTCAACTGAGGTTGGTGGGTTATGATTGGCATAGACAGTGTTTTTTAAATGGCCCTACAGAAAATAGTCAAGTGTTGTTAAATCGGTTGACAGAGGAGGCCAACACATCGGGGGTCGTAACCATCTATACCGAAAAATGACGATTCAAAGAACGTCTCACCTGCAAAGAATTGTGTGCGCCCATCAAGCTGGAGAATTCTTTGTTGCTGTTGCAGTGGAACATCATCTAATAGTGTTGGTATAACCTACCTAAATAATTGAGGAATTGAGCACCATTTAAATTATTTTCGTAGAAATAAGGCCCAAATAATTTATTTCTCAGAAGTTCACAAAAATGTTGTTGATACTTGAACCACCTGATGATGACAAGAGTACGAAATTCTCAGATTTTCCACTGCCCACATTCGAAAATCCAAACGGTTTAGTATGCCATTAGAACTTGGATTAATCAGTCCATAGGATGATGGAAGAACGTTTTCTTCAGCCTCCCAAATCGATATTTGTGCAAGAAACGTTAGACGCCTGTCATGATCAGAGTCCCGAAGTCCCTGGAAAAGATGAGAGTGATACGCCTTAAAATTGTAAGTCCAGAGTATGTCTCTAAATTTAATTTTTGTAAAACCAACAACCCTCCTAACATTTTGGAGAGAGTGATTCGGATGTTCGTGAGCATATAGTAAAATATTCAGCTCCTCGTCCAAAATACGCCGCCGGTTTCTTGGTGATGGAACAGCAACTGATCCGTATCTCCTCATATTGCGATCAACACGAAATAAACGTTTTTTGGTTTACTCTGGGGCGATTAGGAAACTTCT